CAGAGACATCAGGTTGTTGTGTTGATATGGCATGATGATCTCATCTACGTCATTTAATAGGACGTAGCGCGAACGCTCCATGTATCTGTACATGCACTCGTTGAGTGTGGCAAGCTGGCCAAAGTAGTGTATATCACCTCCATGTTTTGAAAAATGCCAACCATGGGATGAATTCAGGTGTTCATTGATGGGCCAGGGAACTATTTCCACAAATCCTTCTTGGGTGTAACTCTGCAGAAGACGATCAAGATCTGGGCCACAGCTGGTGTTGTAGATTACCACTCTGTTCACGCCAAGCAACCTTGAACAAAATGAAAAGAAAATCTGAAAATCTGATTACGCTTAATTGTTACAAATGATATGTTTTAGTTGTTTTTCTTTTTCATCATTTCTTTGGCACATCATTTTGTGGAAGCTTTGACTTCTCATTTTGAGGATTGCTCTTGTAGGAGAGCGATTGGGAAGAATGGCCACCTTGAAATGAACATGAGTAAAGTTTTGTTATTGGAGTTCTGTGCAAGGTGTGAGATGTCCATATTAAATATGTTCAAACAGTTTGATTAGTACATGTTTTTGGAACCAATCTACGGAAAAAACTAAACGGGTTGTAAGCTCATTCATCCTGGTAACAACAAAAAAGGAGAAACATGTCATCTGGACCAGTTTCTTTAAGTGAGAAACGTTTCATCCCCCATTCAGAGGACTTCCTCCGTCTATGGCCTGCCAACCAGATCTGTCCCATAAGTAGCCTTCACTGCTGTGTTTCAAGCCAACCTCCTGTTGGAATCTCAAACGTAGGCTTTAACACATGCAAAACACAACTGTCCTCTGGATAGGGGAAGCAAGTTTCACACTTAAAGAAACTGGTCCAAATGACACGATTTAATCTTTTTTGTTGTCAAACTACGGAATTTAAGGCCCAAGACTGATGATGATTTTTAATGTTTTCCACAGACCTTAGTCTTTCTGTCTTCACCTTTCTGTCTGGGGCAACTGTGGCTGAGTGGTTAGAACATTTGCCCTCCAATGCAAGAATTGGGGGTTAGATTCCACCAGCAGTCACATGCTGAAGTTTCCCTGGGTGACACACTGAACCCCTCATTGCCTCCTATGTATGTCCCATCGGTGTATGAATGGGATAATGATTAGTCTCTTTAGAATGATTTGTTCAATTAGCTTTGTATAGATCTAGTAGAGTGCTGTATGAATGGTTAAATGAGGACATATATTGTAGTGTAAAGTGCTTTGAGTGTCTAGATAAGATGGAAAGGTGCTATATCAGTACAGTCCATTTACCTATGGGGCAAAGGGGTGAGCAGAGCAGACAACAGATCAACACTAGGTAATAAGTTGGATTTAGTGGTGAAGGAGGTCTCTATTCTACTGAGGACTTAAATATCCACTTGGCTAGTGACATCCTGATGCATGCTCAATAATTCAGGTAGAAAAATCTAAAAAAGTTAAATCTGGTACTCTGGACATTCAAAAAACCAAAACAAAACAAATCAACAAAAAATGTAGAAAAGTTTCGTCTCTCATCCGAGAGACTTCCTCAGTCTGAGGAGCTGTATTCAGCTCAGTCTCTTAAATAGCACCGTCTCAGAGTGGATCAACCAGTTTTGCTGCTGACAACCAAAACCAGCTGCTCACATGGTCAAGAAGGACCATCAGCCTAACAGTGGATCATTAGCACACTGATGGCTGTTTACTGTTCACAGAGGGCTGAGTGATACTAGCAATCACAGCATTGTAAGAGGGGGACAATTGAATCCGGAGGCCTCCACCCCTGTTTAACGATGGACGGTTTCTTTTCACAAAGATGGCCTCCTTTACTCCTCTCTCAAACCATCGTTCCTCTCTGTCCAGGATGTGAACATCTTCATCCCTGAAAGAGTGACCGCTGGCCTGGAGATGAGTGTAGACCGCAGAGTCCTGGCCTGATGATGTTGATCTTCTGTGCTGGGCCATCCTTTTGGCCAGTGGCTGTTTTGTTTCCCCGATGTAAGACTGATCACAGCCCTCCTGACACTGAACAGCATACACAACATTACTCTGTTTGTGCCGGGGGACTGGATCTTTGGGATGAACCAGTCTTTGCCGTAATGTATTTTGGGGTTTAAAAGCCACTGGGACGTTATGTTTAGAAAATAAATGTCTCAGTTTCTCTGATACTCCCTCAACATATGGAATGACCACTGGTCTGGGTTCCTCCTTTTCACCTGCTGGCTGACTGGAGTCCTGTTTGGGTTTCTTCTCTGCTTTCAGGAAGGCAGGAAGCTGAATACAGCTCCTCAGACTGAGGAAGTCTCTCGGATGAGAGACGAAACGTTTCTACATTTTTTGTTGATTTGCTTTGTTTTGGTTTTTTGAATTCCAGAGGACCAGATTTAACTTTTTTAGATTGGCTAGTGACAGTTTAACAGGAAGAGGCAAGTTTGGGAGGAATGGCATCTCTGATTTCAAACTCAGCAATGTTTTGTTGTTGGGCTTCTGTTCTAGTCATGGTTTGTCCACCACAAACACCATATTAGGACAAAAGGGTGTCCATAAGTACACATGGTACCAGGACACCTTAGATGATAGACTTCAGAAGCAACTCATCTGATTTGCTGTAATATGTTTAGGACACTTTGGTGAGGAAATGAGATGAGTACCTGAGACACCAAGCTTGTTACAAGATTTCAGACTGAAGAAGTGTTTTGGAAAAAAGATGAAAATTTTCAACAAACAAGAATATGTTCAGAGGACCTGACTCAATCTTGTTAAGAGGTTTCTGCCTTGATAATTGAACGTGCATCAGGACACTGTCAAAGAATCTCCAACTACCTCCAACAGCTTCAACCACCATCCCAGTGGAGGTGGTGGAAATTTCACTTTGCACAAATGTAATAATTTGGTTTAGTGTGTAGATTTACTGACCTGTACATTTCCAGACTTTGTGTATACTGAAGCACATTGTTGTATTCTCCAAACAGACTGGAAATGCAGACTGTGAAGTTCATCCTTTCATTGTTTTCATTGGTTTTCTTGTTTCTTATAGGAATCCAAGTGAGATTACGTTCATTTTCCACTCTGGGCTCTGTCAGAAGAGTGACATGTGTAGCATCGCAGTTTTGAGGAATTTGACACATGATGTCTGTAGCAACAAAGGGAAAACCTGAATAAAGTATGTGTACTAAAATCTTTGTGGGAGTGGTTCCACCTAAATGTCCAACACAGCAGAAAAGGCAGTTGAGCGGCTGGATGGAGTCTCTTCGAAACATGCCAATGATGCGTATGTCGAAACCAATCACTCTCTGATCCATGAATGCTGAGACCAGTAAATGTTTAGTATTTTTGAGAGGAGTGATGGTCTGGTCAGAGATTTTTGATGGGCAAACGAGTAAAGGCCCAAGAGGTGCCGGGATTGACCTGTCTGCTTTAGGTGGTCTCACTTTAATGATGAGTAGACAGATCAATAAAAAGATGGTTATAATAATGAAGACCTTCTTTATGAAGTAATTTGTCTGTCCCATTGCAGAATCCCAACCTGAAGAGAAAAAAAAAATTGAACCACAGAAAGACATATATTAGATAGATAATCTAATGTCACAAAACCTGGAGCATACAGCCAGTTCAATATCATTAAAATAAAATTTACAATTTTAAACGTGGCAATTATTTTAGACTAAATTAAACTTACACTTTTGTTGCATTGGTTACACATAAAACTGTTCACCTTTGCAATCTTTTGATACAATATTGACATTGATAAACTTTAAACTCCCCATCAATTAAAACTAATGAGGCCTCCCAGATGATAATTCAACATTTTTCAGAAACCAAGAATGGAGGTCAAGTCAATTCTCTACAATTACCTGTATTAACATGACATGACTGGTGAAGAAACTACAACAACAAACAAATTTTACCATTTGTTAATATTATAATTTAACACAACTCAGGATATGACAGCTATAGAAACATCAAATTTGACATTCATAAATACAGTAGTACAGTTCAGTCAGTCACGCAAACCCAATCTGTCTGAGTCATTAGCAACAATCAGACTTGTAGATCTTTGTTGT